CAAATATCTGCCAGTCAGTTGTGTCAAAGCAGTCCTGCAGGACCTCCTCAGCCTCACTGTCCCATTTGTAAATAACCCTGGAAGCTGGTTTTTCCTATTTCAGTCTTTGTCTGTATGCAGGCAGCAGCAGAACAATGGTCTGCCTTACCAAAAGCTGGGCGGGGGAGGGGTTTGTAGCACTCTTTGAATGGAGTGTAACAGTGGTCCAATGTTTGATCACCTCTTGTGGGGAAGGAGATGTGCTGATAGTATTTGGGGAGAACCTTCTTCATGTTGGCTCTGTTGAAGTCACCCAGCACAATAAAGGCAGCTTCTGGATTTTTGTTCTCGAGTCCAGTAATGATGTCATACAGTTCGTCCATAGCCGTAGCTTTATTAGCGTGTGGAGGAATGTAAACAGCTGAGAGGAGAACTGAGCTGAACTCCCTCGGGAGGTAAAAAGGCCTGACTTTAATGGTCAGCAGCTCGAGGCTCTGAGAGCAGTAAGTTTTTAAGATACACACATCTCTAGCCCACAAGGAGTTAACCATAAAGCACACCCCTCCTCCCCTTTTCTTGCCTGAGTCCTTCGTTCGGTCTCCCCGGTAAACACTGAATCCATCCGGCGTGATGGCGCAGTCGGGGACGCTGGGCTCCAGCCATGTCTCTGTGAAGGCCAGAACGCAGCAGTTCCTGATGTCTTGTTGGTGTTTAATTTGTGCACGCAGCTCGTCAAGTTTGTTGTCCAGAGACTGGAGATTCGCGAGCAGGATGCTGGGGAGAGGTGGCTTGCTGTTTCTCTGTCGCATTCGGCACAAAACTCCGCATTTCCCCCTCTTTGTTTTCCCTCTATGTCGCGCAAGTAAACAAAGGATCCCAGGCAGCAGAGCGTCCACGGAGTCGAAACCCGCTGTAAAGTCCGAACTGGCTGACGAACGTAGCTCCAGAAGCGTCTGTCTGTCATACCGAGTGTATGATCGCGCTGTGCGCACAGAAATTGAAAGCAGTACAAAATGTGGACTCATCTCTGTGCTTGACCTGCTAGACCTCAGTGCAGCGCTCAGTGCTGTTGAACATGATATTTTATTACAGCAATTGGAGCATGCTGTAGGTATTAAAGGTACTGCTCTGCAGTGGTTGAATTGTATCTATCTAATTGACACCAATTTGTTCATGTAAGTGGAGAGTCCTCTTTACACACTGAGGTTACAGATTGCATAAAGTGTTACCTAATTATGGTGTTCCACAGGGTTCAGTGCTTGGACCAATTCTGTTTTCATTATAAATGCTTCTCTTAGGCAATATCATTAGAAGGCATAGCATACATTGTCACTGCTATGCAGATGACACCCCACTTTATCTATCCATGAAGCCAGATGTCTTAAAATAGAAATGTCTTAAAGACATAAAGACCTGTATGACCTCTGGTTTTCTGCTTCAGATAATTCAGATAAAACAGAGGTTATTGTACTCGGGCTTAAAAATATAGAAATATGGTATCTAACCAGATGCATTACCTTGGCCTCCAGTAACACTGTGAGGAATCTGAACCAGATATGTCCTTAATGTGCATATTAAATAAATATGTGGGAGTGCTTTCTTCCATTTGCGCAATATCTTCAAAACTAGAAACGCCCAAAATTAGAAACATCCTGTCTCAGAGTGATGCTGAAAAAACTAGTTCATTCATTACTTCTAGGATCAGGATGTCCTTAAAACTTCCTGAAAGCTTTCAGTTGATTCAAACTGCTGTAGTAAGAATACTGACAGGGACTAGAAAGAAAGCATATTTCTCCTATACTGGCTTCTCTTCAATGGCTCCCTGTAAAAATCCAGAATCGAATTCAAAATCCTGCTCCTCACATACAAGGTCTTGAATAATCAGGCCCCATCTTATCTTAATGACTTTATTACCATATCACGCCATTAGAGCTCTTCGCTCGCAGACTCTGGACTTATTTAGTTATTTTATTAAAAGTAGAATGGCAGGCAGAGCCTTCAGCTTTCAGGCCCGTCTTCTGTGAAACCAGCTTCCATTTTCAACTGAGGAGATGGATACCCTCTCTGTTTTTAAGATTAGTCTTAAAATGTTCCTTTTTGCTAAAGAATATAGTTAGGGTTGGATGAGGTGACCCTGAATCCTCCCTTAGTTTCTTGCAGTAGGTTTAGGCTGCTGGGGGATTCCCATGATGTACCGAGGGTTTGTCTTCTTCAGTCACCTGTTTTGTTTTTGTTTTGTTTAATCCCAATCTGTAGTTGTTTTTATTATTAGTGCAAACCGGATTAAGGGCATTTCCCATCCTTCTCTTCCAGTGAGTTGTTGTCATTGATGACTGACAACCTAATTCAAAGTGTGAATTTATTGCCAGGAGGTGCCAGCAGCAGCAGTAGCAATTACAGTAACTCTTCACAAGCCTGCGATGTCACATAATAAAACTGAAATTGAAAAATATTTCCTCCCTGCGATGTCAATCTTTGGTCGAGTTTTTTAACCAGTTGCTCCTTTTCCACCACCTGGATTGATATCATATCAGTGGCAAAACAATATGTAGCTGCATCAGTAATTCTATCCACCGTTTGCACTTATGTCATGTGGAGTGTAAAAAGCAAACGCTCCAGTGTCGATGAGTGATTTGTTTACTTCTGGGTCACACATCACCAGATGTGATCTTATCCTTGTACAGGGAGTGCAGAATTATTAGGCAAATTAGTATTTTGTCCACATCATCCTCTTCATGCATGTTGTCTTACTCCAAGCTGTAATAGTCACATGCACACACAGATATCCCCCTAAAATAGCTAAAACTAAAAACAAACTAAAAACTACTTCCAAAAACATTCAGCTTTGATATTAATGAGTTTTTGGGTTCATTGAGAACATGGTTGTTGTTCAATAATAAAATTATTCCTCAAAAATACAACTTGCCTATTCTGCACTCCCTGTATGCTGTCATAACCTGGTTGTATTCAATGGTGTGCTTTTGCCTGAAGTGGTGAAACAAGTTTGCTTTAACCCTTTTAGTGGGAACTGGTTTCTTGCATGTCTTGAAAAGTACTGTGTCTTGTTGGAGGTTGTTGAAGTAGGTCCCTTTTTAGGTACTAATTACCATCAGAGGCTGACACACTGCTTGTTTTGTTGTGCGCGCACTAGGGAATTGAAGTGCTTTAAATGAATGAAAAAGAATTTAAATGTTGCTATATCGTTATTATCACTTTTTTTGTCACATAAAAGCCTGCTGATGGTATGATGCACAGCTCTAATGTCTAGCCAATGTCTGCTGTAATATTACTCTGATAATCAATTAAAAAATACTTCAAAAGGCAACAGTGACACACGCGCACAGCAAAAGGGTGCATTTTATTTATGACTTTAAGTCATGGATGAGGCCTAGCAGACTCAGTCATGAAATTTAGGGGGGGTGGCTAAACGCGCCAACCCACTTACTCTCACACTACTGCATATTGTAATCCTGTCTGTGTCAACTTCTTTCTGTTTTGCTGCTATAAAACACTGGAGGCTGTTGTCAGTGAACAGCATGTCTGTTTAATCAAACTGCGAGCCTGGTTAGATAAAATGAATCCGTATGCAGATTCTTGGGGAAGAGCGGTGCAGACACAGGCAGCTGATCAGCAGTCATTTTGTTGTCAGTCTTATCACAGCAGTGCAGGATGTGCAGCGTTGGTTCTACTGTCCGGTTCCTCCAAGAAAGAAGCAAAGCTGTTCAATCAACAGTATTAACATGATGTCCACCCTCACCCCTCCTTACAGGTGGAGCCAAACAGTTGCTATGACAACATTGCGAGTCTTAGTACTAATAACTGTTACGCCACCTGATGTGCACCGAGTTTTCAAGTGCCTCCAAATTCAGCACAAATTCGTCAGTAGTCAACCAGCTACCCTACAAAGTGTTTCCAGCTGTGGCAGTGACAGAACCATTTCACTCCCATCCCCAGCTCTCGAAATACAGCACCACTTATTCCTGTTTATGCTTTACCCTCCTGAACCATGTCACAGTTGTCTACACGCGTGGCTGTCTTATACGCTGAAGGCATTTATGTTAAAACGAGTCAATAAGCTACAATTAAAACCTTCTGCATTGTTAAAAGCACTCAATAACACATATATTTTCTTTGTTGTAAAAAGCTTTTAGTTTTCAGTAAGAGTGATAGAAAATGTTTAGATACCTTTAATCATCGTTATTTGATGCCAAGTTGCCAAACAAAGTTAGTTTATCTGGAATCACGAGCTAAGTTCAGGGATAGTGGGATGGAAAAGTACATAACACTGTCTTTTTTGTGATGTAGTGGAGCCTGAGCACACCAGTCTGACAGTTGCGTTATTTGAAAAATAGCACAATAAGGTTGGCTCCAAAATACATCACTGCAGGGCTCTTTAAATCTTCCTACAGCATCAACTAAATGACAAAACAAGACATAAATAAACAGACAGCCGAACAGAGAGTTGGTTCGCTAAAAGACAGGTTGTAAATAGGTGTATGTGTATGACTGATATCAGAAGAAAACTATCCAGTTTTTGGTTAATACAACAGATTAGCACGCTCCTGCCTTGTTGCTGATTTCAGTGCTTGGCTCTGCTTCAGAGCCACAAATCTCAGTTTTCATTGAAGGCAGTAAACAACGTGAACCGTGACCTCTAAAGGACATGTGGGATGCTTCCACCATTCTTGCTCATTGCAAAATCTTTAGATAGGCTTAGTAAAATAATGATATTGATCATTAAAGGAAGACTCGGGTGATTTGGTAATAAATTACCCAAAAATGCTGAATACAGTAAAAAGTGTAAAAATTTTAACTCATATATGGAAAATGATAACTAACTTATTTTTTGTATTTTAACACTCCAGTTAAAAAAATAATAATTTTCTGGCAATTACTTCATTATTTAGGAGTAAAGGGGTTTAGAGAGAGACGTTAAGAAGAACTAGAACTAAAATTCTGTATTGCTGTCACACTTAAAAATCATGAGATCTAATGCAACGCAAATCCTTTGTTTTTTTCAGGAGAATCCGTATGTGATGCTCCGACAGAACCACCAAGAACTCGAGGGAAATGACCGCTATGAGGGCTTCTGTGTGGACATGCTGAAGGAGCTGGCAGACATTCTCAAGTTTAAGTATCGCATCCGGCTGGTGGGGGACGGCGTCTACGGTGTTCCCGGAGCTAACGGAACATGGACGGGCATGGTTGGAGAGTTAATCTCAAGAGTATGTAAATATTTGCATATGCATAGACAATAATATTGCCAACAAACAAACCATATCACTATAAATGATTATGTTTTCTCCTTCGCATATGTGTGAGACAGAAAGTTTTTACAGGTGTCTATGCAGTCCTGTGAAAAGCTAAGCAGCCAGGTGCTGCTAATCAAATGCGTTTTATTAATGGATCATCAGCAAGCGTAAGCATCTCTGTAAACGCAGAAGTTTTGGCAGCTTGTTCTGAAGCATTCAGGTGTGTGTTAACACAATGCCAAAAAGGAATGACATCAATAAAAGAAGTAATTGCTCCTGTCCATCATTCTACATTGAGAAAGAGGATTCACAAGTAAAAGGAACTTGCCATTTTTCCCAGGCAGACAGACATCCAAGTAAATTCACCCCAGAGTCAAATCATGCAATGCTTAGAGAAACTACAAAAAAAAAAGAAAGAAAACAAGAGCTGTATCTCAGACTCTACAGGCCTCAGTTAGCATGTTAAATGCCTGAACCCTCTACTGCACACATTTTGATGGTACATGCTGAACATCATTTTCTGACTCATTTCGGGCCATTTTATTGCCAATATTTTTTTTTTGTGCAACAATGGTATAAAACCACAGAGAAAATTATTATCTCATAATTCATCACACAACTTTTAGAAAGCAAAAAGACCTCAGCAAATCTTCCAAAAATGTCGACCAATGTTGAAACAAAGAATTGAAAAGACGTGAAACATATTTACATAAATGATTTGATGCAGGCTTAGGTTCAAATTGTGCAATATCATGTCATATTGATTATACTGTTGTGAGACTGTCAGTCTGTGTGAAACTTACCAAAACAGTTCTTCTGAGGTGGGCATTACACTTTATACACATCACTTTTGGTTTTTCTGTGCACCCAGGAGCCCTGCATCTTGTCTTGTTCAGTTCAGTTCAGTTTTACTTGTATTGTGCCAAATCACAACAATTACCTCAAGGTGGTATATTGTAATGTCACGAACCTACAACAATACAGAGAAAACCCTGACATTAGATGACCCCCTATAATCAAGCACTTGGCTACAGTAGGAAGTAAAAACTCCCTTTTAACAGGAAGAAACCTCCAGCAGAACTAGAATCAGGGAGGGGCAGCCTTAATCGGTTGGGGTGATGGGGTTATCACATACTGTTGGCCAAAGTGATATATTATAATATATTGTCTGTGATGAGATTCTGATTTGGAATGGGAGCTCTGGGACTCTGCTTCTTCCTCCTGTCGTCATAATTTTGAGATATCCCACTAATGGCTCGAACTCTTTGCACAGATTTCATGCAATTTTGTATTTTGGACCACATTTCAACTCGGAAGCTCAGGTGGTTGGACAGCCTTCCCAATGTAAACTTCACAACTGTGTGGAATACCATCTGATGTGATTGTGATTTGGCACTATATAATTAAAACTGACTTGAAATGATCCAGCAAGGACTAGGCAACTGTTGTTGCTCATATGGAGAAAGCTTTTGATGGCCTCCCACTAAGCAAGAAGCATCACATCAGCAACATGTGAAATGTGCACAAATTTGCGCACGAATGCATGAAATAACATATCATTACATACAAACACAATGTTATCAAAATCTCCCTCAAAGTTCCCCTGATTGCACTACGTTGCCCGAGGCAACAAAAAGAATTTCTGGGCATGCAAAATTTCATGGTTCATTGGTTTCCATCATTTAACTTCACACGTACAGGTCATGAGGCTTAAAAAGACTTTCTGTTGCTCTAGGGCAACACTGTGCTGTAGAGGTTTAAGTGTTTAGAGGGGTTTCCAGGAGAAAGTCTCTTCTCTCTGAAAAGAAGTCTAAGCATAGGTTTGCAATGTTGCATCTGAACAAACCACAAGACTTCTGGAACAATGTCCTTTTGACAGACAAGACTAAAGTGAAGAAGTCTGCCCATGATGTACTGCACCATGTTTGTCAAAAACCACACTCAGCAGATCAGCACAAACATCTAACATGAAGCATGGTAGTCGATAGGTGATGATTAGTGCACATGACCTGGGCTTGCAGTTATTAAGTCAGCCATAACCATGCTGTGTGGAACCTTAAGAGATCTGTGCATAAAAAAAGGCCTTCAAACATCAATGAACAGAATCAACATTGTAAAGAAGAGTGGACTAAATTCTTCCAAAGACATGCAGAAAGCCATTACTTCCAGCTGTTCCTAAAGGTGGTTCTACAACTTACAACTTTTCCTTTAAAACAAGATTTTCACCATAGCTGTGTGGATACCACTGTATTGTTCTTCTTAGAGAAACATAGAAACAAACCCAAAGTGTATTGCTCAGCTTTCACATAATTTACAGCACATTTCCTTCATATCATATAGCCCCCTTCCTTCATTCAGCAGTTGGCCTTTTCAGCTTAAGTATTGTATTTTTCAAAGTAGTCACAGCTTGTTGGTGGCTTGTTTCCTGCCAGCCGCTTTAGCTGAACTGACCTTAATAGACTTTCCTCCTGGATCAGTCTTGTTGCTGTTAAATCTCTGAGTGAGCCCTTATATTATTTGCTGTACGTGGCTGTTAACAGGCAGATAAGGTTATATAAGGGATGAGAGGGAGAGGGGAAAGAAGTAAAAGAGCTGTTAAAAAATTAAGAGGGCGGGGTGAGTGAAACAGACAAGTGTTAAGTCAGTCCTAAGAGGTGATCTGTCTTAATTCTGTGAGCTAATGGAGGGCAAAGCCATTAAGTATGTAACGCGTACACTGCCTGCTCTTGTTATTGTCACAGTCCATCTCCCCCCTACATCCATGTATAACTTGCCTCTGGAAGGTTGACCTTCAGAACGGCCATGGGTGAAGTCGACATGTGTCTCTGACATCAGCTTGAGCCGTGGATTGGCATGGTTGAGAGGGATTTTCATGGTAAAGGTGGCATCTGCAGGGAAGTTACACAGTAGACAGAAAGGCTTCGGAGTGTTTGGTTAAAGGCATAGAAAAGAACAGGAAGGATGGCAGTGTAAGAGGATTGTGGGAAAATATACAGGCCTTGGCTACAAGTTGAAAGGATAGGTAAAGAAAGGAAAATGGAGGAAGAGGGGTGTTATACACTTGGTAGGAGCAAAGGAAGACAGCATCAGGATATTTTGGACAACAGATACCCGTCTCCCTGCCAGTACCTTTCAGACTGAGCAAGATTTCATTGAGGATGAGGATGATTAGTCTGACGGGTGTCAGACAGCCTAAGCTAACAATGAGTCAGGCCAAGAAGAACCCAGACACAAGTCTAAGTACAGTATGTGCCGGTTACCTAATCCACAGTGCTGCGATTAGAGAACAGAGACATACAGCATCTCTAAAGACCAAAATTTAAAGTCTAAGTCAAATGCTAAATCCTCAAGGGTCATGTTTAATTCATCTCTCACGTTCAGTTTCGCATCCTTTTTACTGGCTTAGCATGATCTGATTGAATGCAAGTGGAAACGGGTATGATGCAATATTGAACAGGCGACATTACACTGTGTCTTTTCTTACATACTAGAAGGCATAACAGCAGGGAGGCAGAAGAATCCGGTAATCAATATTAATATTCCATCGCCACGTAAATATTTCACTTGATGTTACAACTGTGTGTTCATTTTTCAAAGGATCTGTTACTTTCTTTGTTAAAATTGCCTCGATGGTCATTTGCTGTATTTGGATTCCTTCCAGCACTGGGAGCAGGCAATCAGCCTTTCAAACAGCGGTCAGAAACGAGACAGGAGGCTGGGAACAGATGATAATCTCGGGTCAGCGCCTGCAGGCTGAGAGTAGGGCAGCAGGAGACACTAGGCCTCAGTGTGGAGTAAAGGCTGCCGTGAGGTTAAAGAGATGCAAATGTGAAGTGCAGAGTATTAATTGAAGCACAGACGGAGTCAGACTGGGGGTTTCTAGATGAAGCATTTGAGGCCTCTTCTGAAGGTCAGAGTGATTATAGAAAAACATGACATCGAAATGGATGACGCGCCTTGGATGTGTGCATGTTATGTATGTCAGATGCCCTCCTCGTTCCTTGACATAGAAACAGTATGTTGTGGATTTTGACTAGTGTCTGCAGTGCTGCAGCACAGCTCCCTGCTCCTCATTCTCCCATTCCCCTCTATGTCCCCAATCCTCTTAGTCCTCCTGCAGCAGACAAAGAGGAATGCATTGCTGCTTTCACTCTTTGCTCCTCAGGGAGATGAAAAATCCCTTGCAGTTGCACTTTGCTGGCCTGTATTATTAGTACAGAGCCATTCAGCTGCATTGACCATTTCTACGTGTGTGTGTGTGTGTGTGTGTGTGTGTGTGTGTGTGTGTGTGTGTGTGTGTGTGTGTGTGTGTGTGTGTGTGTGTGTGTGTGTGTGTGTGTGTGTCTCTGTGTTTTACTAGCCTCTGCTTTGTCGAGTGATTTGTCTTGACAGTGCTCCCTTGGCCAGCCACAATGGTTACCCTGAGCTCTCTCGTGCACTGCACACACACACACAAACACACACATAATGCCAGTGCCGGATTATCCCCATCACGGATAGCCGTATTGGTGGACAAAAAGCCTAGAGGATACAAAAAGGGCATTATTAGGGAATTAGCAAACCAGTAGCCCACTTCTTATGTCATCCTCATCTTTCTTTTTTTTCAAAATCTTCAAATTATTGGGTATGTCACAAACACTATGCCATGCCTCGGAGCTGTGCTGTGTGTGAGTTGGACTTTTCATGCAGTAATACTACTTATCCTGTTGCAGAAAGCAGACCTGGCAGTCGCAGGCCTGACCATCACAGCAGAGCGTGAAAAGGTGATTGACTTCTCCAAGCCTTTCATGACCCTTGGTATCAGCATCATGTACCGCGTCCACCTGGTGAGTTAAGTCCCCCCGCACACACCTATTATACCTGATCGAACTGCCTCTCATACAGCTTGCGGATAAACCTCAGCAGGCTGTCAGGCATGTCTAATGCCTGGAAAAGAAGCACTCTGCCTTCTGGCCTGTAGAGTCTTTTTCTCTCTCTTAGTCCGTTTAAATTCCTCCACAACTTCTCCCCTTTTACACCTTATTGCCTCTTTACCTCTCAGCTACTCGTTTTCCCTTTCATCTGCGTTTTTTCATGGGTCCTCTTCCTGCTTTACCCCTGTCCTCCAACATTACTTGCCACTTCATCCTTCTCCTCTGTGTCAAGTTCTTTTCATTTTTCCTTTGTCCACCCATTTCCTCCTTTTGTTTCCGTGCCCCCCACCCCCCACCTCATTCTGCCAGCACCAGATCGCTCATTTTATGGTGTGAACTGAATGATAAATGTAACACTTTCACAGTTGTTTTCTGCTTGTTCTCTGATTGGATTTCGCCATCTTATTCTCACAAGCAATGCCCTCCATTCTCTGCAGAGAGCAAGTCCAAGCAAGAAACAACAGCAGTGCTGGTGGAAATGAGCCAGTGTTTGCGCACTTAGTGGCCCATTAATCATCAGTCCTCCCCCAAAACCCAAGGTGACACTGTGGGGGCCACAGTAGCACTGGCCACAGTCCGTGCTGAGGTGATCTAGCGCGTGCGCAGGCTAACATTAGTGTAGCATCCCAAAGGGGCATTTTACTCACATTCCCATTCCATCTTGCTCCTGTCTCCACTACTTGTAAATCTCCCACCGTGTCACCTTCCCATAGTCTGTGCACAGTACCCATAGGTGAGGCAGTGAGGCACTCAATTGAGCGGCAACAGTTGGGGAGAATCAATCGACGTTCGCAGCAGGTGCTACGTTAAATGGGCTGCTGGGCAGCATGTGACCTCTGAATTGGGAAGCAGGCAGGCGGGTGGCAGCCTGAGGATATGATATGGAGCTTATGTCCCACAGGGTTGGCACACAGAGCCAAATAGTTGAATTAGCAGAGACTTGACCCAGTTGAAATTCCTGAGTAAAGCGGTTTCTATTAAGATAAGATGTGTGAAGTCGGTAGAGGAAGGTGAAAAGATAAGAGGGAAAGAAGACAGGCATAAGTGCAGGTATCATCTCTCTTTGTCTCTTTCTCTGTCCCTCATTTCCTCACACTCTCTTTACTTTCTCATTGCCCCTTGGCATTTTCTTAGATCCGATTCAGAGTGGTCCCTCAGCATGCTCTAAAATTCGATATTTGAATTTCTGTGACTGCACTTGTTTAGTTCTAATCCACTGACTATTGATCTGAGGCACAGTGATTTCTACAAGGGGGTATACTGCTTATTTCAAACTTTAAATGAAAATTTCAGTCCAATCAATAAGAATGGCGAATGCAATAAAATACAGCTGCCTGTTGGGTATTAATTATCCGCACACTATCGCCAGTTTAATCTCCATTTCTCTTCTTTGTCATAAGTATTGCATGTCTTTCTTACTCTCGCTCTCTCTCACACACACAGACACACGCACAGAGTTTTTTCACTTTCATTATTTATTCTTATTTTATGTTTGTTGCGTTCAAAGCACACATTTACATTCTTTTCAGTGAAGGCGATAGCTTTAACGTCAAGCGTAATCTTGTTACAAAGCTGCTGAAAATGTACATTTCCTGTTTGAAACACAGGTGCAGATTTGAACTAACGCTTCACTGCCTCCACCCCACCCACACCCCAAACCCCCTCCCTTGCCCTCCACACCACCCACCCACCCAGCCACTACAACAACTGTCACAGACAAGTTTTCTGTGGTGTGTTCAAAATTGCAGCAAATCAGAACATTTAATCACCTGTCAAATGAGTTTGTGTCTTCGTGCTATTCTCTGAAGGGACCGCTGTCTGTTATCATTTCTGGGACACTGACTCTGCAATAAATAAAACTAAAAAAAATCCAGACAGCTTGCATCTTGCCTGCATAAGAAGAGCACTACCTGTCTATGTGTTTCAGCTGTCTCGCCTGAATGTCTTGTCTGGTTGGGGATTTGTAGTTGGGTGCTATTCGAGGCCATATAGTGTATTTTATATGGTGGGGTATTTGACATGCATGTAGCTTCAGGCCCTATAAATAAAACGGATTTGCTTCATACACAAATCAAAGAGAAGCCGGTGCAATATGAATCACTGCGGTTATGAACCCAGACACTACCTAAAGCGACTGTCAGCTTCATCTCATAAAAACCTTTCGTTGTCTTGCATTCATCATCTGTACAATATAAAAACCATATGCTGCATGCCAAAATCCCAGCACTGTGAGCGTCTTTAAATCTGTGCCAGTTCCTTCTCCATTAATTCGTTGACTGTGTAACAGGGTATATGAGTGGATGTGTGCATGTTTGTGTGTATAAGAGAAAGAGTGCCACTTAATTAGACATAGGGGTTAATTAGGGGTGTGTAGAAGCTGTGTCAGATTCAGCAGCTGCCCTGAGGGTAGAGCGTAGTATAACGAGCTTTATTGACTCACTGGCCACAGAAGTCCTCAGACAAAATTACACAAACAAATGAAACCCTGTGCACAGAAACACAGACGCAGCTCGTGGAATTAAAAAACTTACCAGTTATGTTATTTAGGGTTATTTTTAAATGCAGTTTTTTTCCATAATAAATCAATATTAAATTTAACACTAAACAGTAGGTTGTGTAATATCATTAAATTGTGTATATATGTGCTTAGGTACAACTGTGCAACTGCTCATTAATGCACAGGCTCTAATCAGCCACTCACATGCAGCAGCTACATACATTTAAGGATGTAGATATTCTAAAAAAAGACCTGTTGAAGTTAAAAACTGGGCATCAGAATGGGCTAGAAGACCATACTGAGATCCCACTCCTCTCAACTAGCATAAAGAAACTGAGCCAATTAATGATACAGGTTCAGCATGCTGGTAGTGTGATGGTGTGGAGGATATTTTCTTATCATCGTTTGGTCCCTTTAGTACAAACTGAGTATTGTTGCTGACCATGTTCATCCCTTTATGACCGTTGTGCATTCATCCTCTGCGGGTTCCTTCCCACAGGATAATGTGTCGCGTCACAAATGTCAGATCATCTCAGACTGGTTTGAGATGTGGGATCATCTTGATACAGAACAGACCAAACGCAGCCAACATCAAGAGAAGAGCTTTGAATGTTTTCCATGAAGCCTGGAGAACTATTCCTGAAGACTCCTCAGGAGAAAGTTCAGGGTGAAGAATAAAGCTGCTCATATCAAATATTGACTTTCAAGCTCGTTAGGAATGTTTTTGCCTTTTAGATTGTATTTCCGTGGATGCATGTGTTTCATTAAACCGCTCTACCTATTTCCCATTTCCCTAGCAACATACAAAGAAATAAGGGGTGTCTTGAGACTTTTGCACCAGACTGGAAGTTTTATTCTTTTATTTTGAAAGTAACCCTAAAACTAGTAGTGATGTATGTTTTTTGTTTTTTTTTAGTTATGTTAGAAGAGTTTCAGCAAACACAAAAGCACAGCTTTGTTTGTGTGCAACTCACTCAGACATAAAGCCAGACAACCCGGTGAGCTCAAGAGGCAGCAGGATGTTGTTATGAATATGACCCCGTGACCTCAGCCAAATCAACTGCTCTCCACAGATTGCCCCCGCGGCCATCTCAGCAGCCGTAACAACTGGCAGCTTTAACACAATTAGAAATGCACACACTATCAAAGAGCTTGGGGGGGGGGGGGAGGTGGCAGAACATGGGGAGACACAGGGAGGGACAGGAAGAAAGACAACATAAAAGAGAATAAGCAAGAAATAGGTAGAAGGACATGAGGGAAGATGGAGAAATGAGAGCAAGGAAGTGAGCGACGAGAGTGTGAGAGCTGAAATGACAATGGGAAGTCTCCTTCGGTGAGTCAGTGTTCAGGCAGGAAGCCTCAGGGGGCAACGGTGTGGTATGAATACCAAGAGGAAAGATGACTAGGTGAAATCCTCAACTGGATAACCTCACCGGCTCCCTCTGCCACCCTCCTGGCATGTAGGCAGTCCTCCGAGAGTAACGGAGAAGGGGAGAAGCGGGAAATATGGAGGGACAGCGGGAAGTTGAGAGAGAACAAGGGCAGTGCAAGGTAAAATGAATAAGTTTTTCATCTGTGTGTTGAGATGAAAAAAGGACACATAGCTACTAAAAAAGGCAGCAATTTTTCACTATTTTATTTGTTGAGATGGACTCATAAAAGCAGGTCTTAGAGGATGTTTTGCCCTCTGTGCCACAGGTGTATTATTTTACTTCCTGGGATTTGCCTCATCCCATATATATCATCTTAACATGGCCATAAAACTGCTATAAAATGATACCCCTGACTCTGATAAAAATCATTCAAATATGGCAGCAAGTACTTACGCTGTGAAGAGACACTCATCCAGTAAACATCTAATTTGGTCCTTGGTGTACTCTGTTTATATTTTATTACTTTGTTAATTATTTTCTAGTTCTAGTCTACACTTCATCGGCAACTTTGTGAGGTACAGTCATTTGAAGGCTTGTTAATGCAAATATCTAATCAGCTGATGCACAACACATTTAACCTTGAAGCAGATGGGCTACAACAGCAGAAGATCACACCGGGTCACCCACTCCTGTCAGCGAAGAACAGGAAAATGAGGCCACAGTTTCCACCAGCTTACTAGATGAACATTGTTCGGTATAATTTCTACTGCAATATTCGAATGGTACAGAAACAAAAGCATGGCTCCATCCTCCCTTCTGTCAATGGTTCAGGCTGCTCATGATGGTCTAATGGTGTGGAAGATATTTTTCTTGGCTCTTTTTTAAACACCAACTGGTTTTAAACATCACAATGAGTTCACTGAACTTAAATGACCCCCAAAAGTCACCAGCTCTCCATCCCATAGAGCACCTTACAGATGTGGTGGAATGGGGGATTTTCATCACTATGTGCAGCCGACAAATCTGCAGAACGTTAGCGATGCTATCATGTCATTATGGACCAGAATCCCTGATGAATATTTCAGGCACCCTGCTGAATCTACACCATGAGGAATTAAGGCACTTGTGCAGGCAAAAAGGTGGTCCAAACCAGTATTAGCAGGGTGTACTTCCTATAGAGTCCAGTGAGTGTATATCTTCTATTTAACAGTAACTACTGGATTAGTCACAGATGCTGTGCTTTCCTTAGCAAGCAGTCAATGTGCTTTTCTGTGCTGAGTGGTGGGTGCTCCCTGTGCAGTTGCCCAAGCACATACTGTATCTGCCCTGCTGTGGATGACTGACAGTTTAGACAGCTGCTGACAAGATTAGAAACACAGGCACACACACAAACACACAGGTGCTTGACAGTCTGTCATGCACACACAGACTCATCGTCCAATATAAAGAGAGACTGGACCACCTAAATAAGATTGTGATGTAAAGTATGTCTCTGAGAAATTACTAAAAATATTTAGTATTTGCATGCATAATTTATTTATGAATAAATGAATGAAAAATAGGTAAACCCTTGTATATGTTCTACTTTACAATTTCCTTACATCACTGGAAATCCTGAGTCACCCTGCCCCGTGAGGCACTTCTCCTCAAACAATGTTTAGTGGTTCGCACAGCAGTTTGTGGCACAGCAATTTTGAACCCATCTTGATTGATTTTGTTTGGCAGCACAGCGAGCATTTACATATTAAGCACTTGATAAAGGTGGTATATCCAATATGTTAGAAAACAGCTGCCTATTTACCCATCCGACAGGTCCCAAGTACCATTAGCATTCACTTGCATTTCCCTTTCCAGCAATTTGTCAAATGTAAGTCCAGTAGTCATTGCTTTACCGCTGGTTTGGTCCACACCAACTCCGAGGGGTGGAATATGGCTCCTTAGCTGTTAAACGCTCTGCTATTGTGGTGCAGATTGTATTCATGAGAACAGGAGCAGAGAGGAAATAAGGTAGTTAAGATCAGCGCGAGTGAGCCAAAACAGTAAAGTTGGCACGGTAAAATAAAAGCCCTGAAAGGTGTTAAAGCACTGCTGAGCTGTGTGGAGCTTTAGTCGAGTGATCACACACCATGTTTTTCCATGTCACGAGATCATCATTAAATAGAGTTTCATTAAGCTTGCTCTTTCTAGTCCTTAGTTTAATCTAAAATGTTTTGATACAGAAAAAAACTGAATAAACTATCTTATCTTTGGAAATGTGCACACAGATTTTAAAACATTTTCATGCAGTTTCCATTTAGCTTATCTGAAGCTTTGTGTGCTCATTAATTTGCCTACTCCAGCTATGGATTGTTCCAGTTTCTAACTCTTAAAAAAAAAAGTAAAACACTTTTGTCCCTTAGTCTCAAAGCCAATACATAAAAGCAGCAAAGTCGAGCTTTCTAAGCAGCAAACCTCCTACTGTTTTCCCGTTGTCCTTGTAATCTTCCTGTTGTCTCGTCCTAGCTTTCTCTCCGTCTCTATTTCTGAGTTGCTCTCTTGCACCTTCACTTTGCCATCTGTTAGCACACTAGTCCCACGTCTCTGCAGTGATCTTTATCTTAATAATAGCACCTTGGTGAAAACTTAACATGTGGACGAGCATGCCCAGCAGTTCACGAAGCGCTGGGTCAGCATGCATCAAACTGGACCAGCAAAACAGGAGGACTCATGTCAGCACATACTACTGCTACTCCAGTAATGCCAGTGCCAACCGAAGGCAGCCTGGCACTGATGCTCACTTTACAACATATACCTCTGACATGGCCATTGTGTGTTTCAGCTCTGCACTATTCCATTCTCAGACAGCTATCGCCATCGTCATAAGCAATTGCACTCTATAACGTGGACTGACATACGTTATGAGTGGCAGGCTGATTCGAATCTTGCTCAGAGTTATTCGGCAACTCTCTCCCCCTGCTTCTCCTGCTTTCTGCACCACTCCTATTTTACTCAGTCGGGCTAATATGCAAGTGATTACAGACGCATTAATGAATTTTCATCTCCGCACAACTCTGAATGGGGATTCGTTTATCATAACAAATGCCCACCAAAATAATTTCATCCTCTTTGCCTCAAATTAAATTTTGGAGGGCCTCAGAAATGTATTACTGCAGCGTTTTGGCACGCAGGAGGTCTGGCAGGAATACTTAATTGAGTTTTTATTTTTTTTATTTTTTGCATAAATGCAATTTGGGCTTGTTCACGTAGACTCCACGGCGGTGCCTTTGACACAGAAATGGACAATGAGGAATTTCTACACGACTAAACGTGTCCCTCTCATAGCAACACTTAGACAGTTGGTTGTTTGATCACCTCCATTATCTAAGCGTCCTGCTGGCCCTGACAGCCACCTCCATTTCATAGTCATTAACAGGCGGCGGACGTGCACTTGTGTGTAAATGGCTAATATTCCCCTGCTGACATTTGGTCGGGAATGGTGTAAGCTTAGCGTGCGCGTGTGAAATATGAGCAGGCACAAACACACATATAAACAAGCGGGCCCAATCATCCTGACTGTGGTTCCCCAGTAATTGGTTTCATTTAGAGGACAATGTTGCATAATGAAACATTAGGAATTAGCCCCTATATTCCCATCGCTCTACTGGCTGCCAACCTCATTTTAGCCATGTTATCTCCTGGTTACCAATGCACATTTATATGCAACACCCCATAGCTGCTTCAGCACAACTAGCCTTTTTAGCCAAGCCAGAGCTATTAATCCCCCTCCACCTGTGTACACTGCCCACTCCCGGTCATACTGCAAGTCAACTATAGGTCATGGAATTGAATTTGTCTTTAATGTGGTTCTAATGGTTTAGCTGATTATTTGACATTTCTTTCTCTCTACATGCAGACTTGTAGAGAGTAAAAATGTTGCCTTTTGTTAGTTTTGACCTCTGATTATTCTGTACGACTAAACCTAATAATGTATCTATCACAGCTTGTTGGAAGTTGTGAGAATTTTTTTTTCAGTGTTGGAATGCGGGATATAAACCTCTTATCAGTGATGTCGTATTATCATACAGGCCTCTGCCACTCTATTGACAGTCCATGGGAGACTGAGTTTGCGCTTTCATACAGTGCTGATCTGAATGTTTACATGCAAATGAGATTCGTATAATTAAAGTGCTATCAGTTTAGGACAGGGAAAACCTATGCTTATCGCATCAAAATCTGTTTATTTGCGGTCACAGTCACCTTTTCCATCTTCTCCAAATTACACAGGCACCAGTAAATGTTGGTCAACACACACCGAACTGGAGGTGGGAAGAAAGGGAAACAGAACTGAAATGCAGTAATCATCGCCTTTCTATGATTCCTTCTTTAGTTTATGTCCAAGAAGACCAGTCATTCTGTGTGTGTTGTCTTCCAGGGACGTAGGCCAGGCTACTTCTCCTTCCTGGATCCCTTCTCACCGGGTGTTTGGCTCTTCATGCTTCTGGCCTACTTGGCTGTCAGTTGCATTCTCTTTCTGGTGGCCAGGTAAGGAGCTCAACCATAAAATGCAGTCTGTACAGATAAGCGAGAGACAGGAGAAGAATGAGGCAAACAAATGGACTGGGTACAGAGAGTAAGAGCACACAAAAAAACGTTTCTTTGGGCAATATACGGCGGAGGAAACAGGTGTTTGTTCTCTCGCTTCTCTTTAGCCTCTGGTTGATCTTGAACATCACAGAGAAAGAGACGTTCTCCCACCAGTGGCAGGTCTCTAGCATCACATTGCCACCTGCTGGTCAAGGATGGCACTGCCACAACTGCTGCTGAAAATCATAATTTCCTTTGCAATGGAAATATTACTAGGTTACAGTATATCTAATGAAGATGCTTTAATGCAAGAAAATGCTAATTGAATTCTGCAGCACCTTACAGAATCAAATTAAAAGTACCAAGACCTTCAAATTTACCAGTTTTCTAAAGATAGCTCTACGGGTGGTCTTTGGTGTAATATGAAAATCATTTATAAATGTTGGGTGAGGTGGTTTAATCGTAGCAGTTTTGGAGATAATAATACATGTACTCCTTTTTTTAGGTGTTTACTAAGAATAATTTTTCCACCCGTGATCACAGTGGGAAATATGTTAAACATCTGGGTTGTTTAAAGTTTTTTGTCCTTCTTTTGAACTTTGTTGTAATTATTTGTGACTCAGAAAGAAATTCTATCTTTGCCACGTGAGTCACATGGCTCGTTGGTTCAACCCAGCACAGAACAGAGTTGTCACAGAACTGTAGCTATATCTGAGCACCCCAATTACACCACCTGCATCCTCACAGTTTAAGTAGGCAGAAGCGAAGCACAGGTTGGTTCTCCCTCTGCAGAGCCAAGGTGACTTTGTCCTCACTTGACTGAGTTGTTTTCTCCTCATCCTTCATCCCTCTTCCTATCTCCATTCCTCTCACTCCCCGTCTCTTGAGTTTTGCTCTTATCAGAATACATAATCTAACTTTCATTCCCACTCTCTCTTTCCCCACAGGCTGACACCTTATGAATGGTACAACCCCCACCCTTGTTTAAAGGGACGCTGCAACCTGCTGATCAACCAGTACTCGCTTGGCAACAGCTTCTGGTTCCCAGTTGGAGGCTTCATGCAGCAAGGATCCACCATTGCTCCTAGAGCTCTGTCCACACGTTGTGTGAGCGGAGTGTGGTTAGTATTGGCTCCAGATGCACGGTGCAATGCGCAGGTTTCTCCATCACGGAATGCAATTCATCAGTAACGCATTCTTGAAGCTTGATTCCAGATTTCAAGAGTGAGATTGTGCATTTGTGTGCACACGAGGCATCGTTTGTGTCTGTCTGTCCGCCTTTGCAGCTAGAACTTTATCCACCCATTAATCCATCCGCCATATCATCTACTGAATATCCTGTCATGTCTTCTCCTCTCAGGTGCGCAGTTATTTTAATCCTTCTACACCTCCACCCAGATCATTTATCTTCATGTGTCAGCCTGCCCATTTACATACGTTTGCAGGTGAATACATATGTTCTTGTCCGCTGCCTTTCCCACACAGGTGGGCCTTCACATTAATCATCATCTCCTCCTACACCGCCAACCTGGCCGCCTTCCTAACAGTGCAGAGGATGGAGGTACCGATAGAGTCAGTAGATGATCTGGCAGATCAGACGGCGATAGAATATGGCACCATGCACGGTGGATCCACGATGACCTTCTTCCAGGTTAGAAGTTACACACATTGCTGTATATGCCACATTGTTTATCCTCCTAAATCTTCACTCACATACATACACACTGTATGTAGGCACAGGCTCACTTCAGAGCACATGGAAGTCAATGGGTCATCTGTGATCAGCTATCAGCTGTCCTTTTCGTCACCCTCCTGTCCTTTATGTCTTCCTCCTCTAACCACAGGTTTTATCTGTTTCCTGTCTCTTTTTTGCCACAACCATTCAATATCCTTCTCCTCGGGGAGATGGGGCACTGTCCAGGTCCCACACTATCCTCTTTCATCTTTTGAGATTTGACCTCAGCGAGAAAAAGAGAAAGACACTGAGCAGGAGAAAAAGAGGGTGTTAGAGGGGAGAGAGACAGTGAAGGATGATATTGGGCGAAGGGAAGAGAGATATTAGCCTTGTATTCCTTGGCGCTTTCAAGTCCACTGGACCTTAAATAACTCAGGAAAGACAGGCTGAGAGAAAGTAAAAGACAGGTGGAGGTGTTAAGTGAAGTTTCTGTTCGGAAGTTTCTCAAATGGGAAAGAGGTGCGCTAATAGAAAAAAAAAAGGGGGGGCGCTCTGATGTAACACTCCATCAGTCCAAAAAAAAGCAAACCAAACCAAACCAGAAGAGGAGATGCTTTGTTAACTGTCTCTCACTCTCTGTGCCTGTTTCTTCTGATCTTATCTGCTCTTTCACGCCTGTGCAGAACTCCCGCTACCAGACGTACCAGCGCATGTGGAACTTCATGCAATCAAAGCAGCCCAGCGTGTTTGTGAAGAGCACAGAGGAGGGGATTGCCCGTGTCCTCAACTCTAACTACGCCTACTTGCTGGAGAGCACGATGAATGAGTACTACCGCCAGAGGAACTGCAACCTGACTCAGATTGGAGGACTGTTGGACACTAAGGGCTATGGTATCGGCATGCCGCTGGGTGAGTGGAGGACAAAGTGTTGAAAATTGGAGGACACTTGAAAGTGACGGATAAGCAAAAGAAGGAGAAACTTGGTCAAGTAGTTGAAACATCTGATACAAGCCGCAGAGAGACAGAAGCTAGTTTGCCGGAGTAATGCGGGGGCAAGGCAGTTAGTGTAAAACGAAGTCAACGGAGGAGAGAGCTGATGGTTTCGCTTAAATGTGCTGTATAATTCATTCCCCTTCTTAGCTTCACTAAGAAGGGGAATGAAGAGCAGAGGCATTAGTTGGAGGATACACCATAAACGTCACATTGGAGAGTTGAATAAAAAAGTAAAGCCTCAGCAAAGCCAAACCACTAGCTGCTATCATGGGGCAAAATGATGCAAAAAGGGAGAAACTAAGAGAGCTTTAATGCTAGATTTTAATAGAGCAGCTGTTGCCATGCTGTGATGGGAAAAGTGAGGACAAGAGCGAGGGAATTTGAGATATTGTTCCTGTGAAATGTGAAACAGTTTCTGCGCGACGCTCGCTGCTCCAAGAGTATAAACACAGGGTTTACTTACACTTTGATCTCAGATTGAGTCAAACACACCTTAAAGTAAACAGATTAATTTCCATTCCTTTGATGTTTAAAGGATAGATAAGCCGTCTTTTTAGTGGATGATGGCGCCGTGACCGTAAAACATTGGAAGATCATTGTAAGCTCCTTAATCTCAGGTTTGAAATCTTCGTTTTGTTGGTTCGGGCGAAGCGTGGTGAAGTGACGCGCTCTCACATTTGCCATGGCATACCAGAGGAGAAGGAAGAAGAAGAAGTCAAGGAAATGTCACTCTTCGTTTGTACCGTGTCCCTCATTTACTTTTCTCTTCCCTTCAGGGTCAGTGTACCGTGACGAGTTCGACCTAGCCATCCTCAAACTGCAAGAGGACAATCGTTTGGAGATCCTGAAGAGGAAGTGGTGGGATGGCGGCAAGTGTCCAAAAGAGGAGGACCACCGTGCTAAAGGTTTGTCTCTGCAGTTAAATCCACATCTTGGTTGATGATGCCAGAAAACACTTATCCCGCCCAATCCCGGCATCTCTCCAGGTCTAGGGATGGAGAACATCGGTGGCATCTTTGTGGTGCTGGTGTGTGGCCTGCTGGTGGCAATCTTCATGGCAGTGCTGGAGTTTGTCTGGATGTTAAGGCACGCACCAGGAAATGAGGTGAGAGAGGGCTATCTAACCTGCATCTGCTTTGTCTCCCTCTCCCCTCCCTGGCACCTTCCCCCTCGCGGAGCTGCTAGGCTTTTCCACAGTGCGCAGCTTTGACAGGAAGTTATGAGCACAAACCAAAGTAATACCTCGTGTGTTTTTTGTATTCATAGCAGAGAAGCATCCATTCGTACCATATATATATTACACAGAATAATCAAACTGTACAGTAAAAAAAAAGATCTTGTTTTAGTTATATTTACAGGGTGCTGCAAATCTTTATCTCAGCCTTAATCTAGTGACCTTATTTAAAACACACTCGCTGTTGTGTCCACGATTGTCAAAAACTACATGTCCTTCTCACCATCAAAAGTTGAAATATGGACAGTAGAGGATTAGTCGTGGCAGTCAACTAGAACTTTGCGCTAAGAATGGACTTCAAGCAAGGGCGTCAGATTTGTTTTGGAAGCAAAAAGAAAAAGACTGCTTTTTGGAAATGTCAGGACCAAGAGTCGCTACAGCTCGGTCACACAATGTTGGTTATTCAAAGTAACAGGGGACAAAACAATGATAAATGACACCTGAAACACTTAAAAGTGCCACGCTATGATTTGAAAGTTGCTGATACAGAAGCAAAATCACCAGCCAATAATGCAAATATTTCAAACTGCATCAGCACATTAGCTGTCCTCTGAGGCTGAAGACAGACCTGCATTATTACAACCTCTTAAACAGCAACTTTAAAAATATTTTTTTCTAATTATTTTTAGGAAGGAAGGAATTTAGATGCATTTTTTTACTGGCGAAAGTTGAAAGTGCTTTTGAAAATTATGCTGAAAGTGTGTGGTATTGTAATCCAGTATGAAAATATGATTTCAATGTAGCTTCATCTGGAGAGAGAACTAGCAAGCAACCTGAGTGTCCTCAGCATCCAGATGTTCTGCTGTTTGGAGGATTTTATTTATTTATTTTTTATTCACAATAGACAGATGAGTTTAGTGCTAGTGGAAGGGGCTCTCCTGTGATATTCATGAGGGAGGACTGCTGTCAACCACAAAAGATGACTTGAAGAATCAGAGAAAAATGTGCATGCAGTGATATCATTACCTCCGATGTGATTTCTTTAACAGATACTTGAATACTATTTGGCGCTGTGATTTTAACTCAATAAACATTCAGAAAGTCAAAAACCCACTCATGTGATTTCTTCTTTTGGAGCAGTACAGATTGATGTCTCACTCTAAATTGTGAACCATGTGTGTGTTTGTGTGTGCGGGTCTATACATGTATCGTTCATATTTGTGCATCTGGATTTACGCCTGTGTGCATCTGTACAGTGTTCGTGTGCAGCTTATGTGGATTGGTGATGAGTTTCTTTTCCGTCTTGTGCTTGAGCTGCGGTGTCACGTCTGTGATTGCGATTATTTGAGTTTATATCCTTGTGTTACACCCAGCGGATCACTTGATCACCAGTGCCGGCGATGAAATGCGTGTGCTACACTTGTGGATGTGAAAAGTAAATTTAACAAGCCCGTGTGTATTATATGTGTCGCTGATTTCACTGCTGGCCGCTCAGTCTACATCACCCTATTCTCTGTCGCCCATGCAATTTCCCTATTATGAACATAACCCTGAAATGTATCTGTTGTGTGTCTTTGATGTCACTCCGTCTGTCCTGATCGAGCCCATAGTCAGTGAGTTGTCTGGCCTCTCTCTCTTTCTCTCCCTCTCTTATTCCCCTCTGCCCTATCTTTGTTTTCTTCCCGTGTGTGTGCTTGCAGCAGTCAGTGTGCGAGGAGATGCTGCGGGAGCTCCAGGGGATCGTTCTGTGTCGCGACAGCCTGCAGGCGAGGCGCCGCCGGGCGGCGTCGATGCTGCGGCCACGGCCCTTACCTCTGGAGGAACGTCGGGCGCGAGCTGCCGCTGTCAGCCTCAGCAACGGAAAACTGTGCGGGGGCACGGGACTGCCTGAACCCCTTTCCCACAGACTGGCGCAGGAGGCTGCCCTGGTCGCGAGGGGGTGCAGCCACATCCGCATTTGTCCCGAGTGCAGACGCTTCCAAGGACTGAGGATGCGCCCCACAGGGGGCCCAGGGGCCCTCCCATCTCCCACTCACAGTGAGGAGAGCATAGAATGGGACAAGACCACAAATAGCAGTGAACCTGAATAACGCCCCACAATTCCAGCAGGACTGCCTTTCCCAGCAGCCACCTCTCTTCCAGGGATCAAAGATCATGTGGCATTTTAATTCTGCCATCCAGAGTTTATCCTTAAAGGACAGGACAATGCTGTGGACTTTCTTTTACCCCTGAGGCGACCGCCAGCAGTGAGTTTTTGGAATCTCTCCTTGGGCGAACTTTTTCCTTGGTCATAGGAAAAACTGATGAGTCTATCTCGTTGTGTTCTGTCCCTGGTGGCCCTCTGTACCGTGTAAAACAGGACAGACAAAAACAGCTACGGGGCATTTGTACTATGCAGTATTTCCAGTCATTTATCATTGTGCTGTTTCTTTTCTTTCCTTTTTAAATTATTTCTGTCCTCTGTTGGATTATCAGTACTGAATATTGTTATTCTATTGTTAAAAAAAAAAAAACTTTAAACAAGGTCCTTTTTTTATCTGACAATTTACTCTAGGAACGTATATTGCCTCTGAAGAGCTGCAGAGATGGACAGATTAAGGCAAGGTCAACCTTCACGTTCTTTTGTTTTGAAAGTGCCAAAAACCACAAGCATCATCTTGTGGCTGAAGAAAGCACCACAGCCTTGAGAAGACGGCAAACTCATGTGAACATAGAAAACAAAAGGACAGACATGCGGACACAAAGACTCCTTTTATAGTAGTGATATTCTATTAAAAAAATGTTTTAATTGTTGGGATCTCTGAAAGACAGTGATGCATGTCCAGAGGTGTTGGCCAGTGCTCACTGAATGAGTCATCCTGAAGTGGTTCTAGGGTAGTCAAGTCAACTTAAAGAAGGATTTTCTCTTTTGAATACCTGCTTAAAAACATGATGTCTACGCACACAAATGTACATGCACAGAGACATCCTCTTATATCATCCCTCTTCTGTGCACTGACATTACTTTCTCCTCCATCTGTCCTCCGTGTCTGACCCATTTATTGTCCTTGCACCAGTCCCCTTTATGCTCTCTTGCTTACAAATATATCCATTGTAAGTTATAAGACATCATTTTTTTTCTTTTTTTTTCCAGCTTACATATTCAGTATGTGTATCAAACCCAGCATATATTAGAACCAACCAAAAACAAAGTCCTCGGTAGAGTGAAGGGATTTTTATATCAGCAGTTGGCTTGGCTTGTTTTAAATGTCAGCGCAGTTAAACTTTTATTGAAAGTGATATTTTACACACTGCTCGTAGGAGACAGCCTGGGTGCACTCTGACATTTTGATACTATAATTTTTTGCAAAAAACCCCAAACCAAACTTAGAATACATTAACCAGGCTAAAACGTGGCGGATATTTAATGCAAAGTGATGCAGGAGGAGCTGAAACACACTTATTTTTCCTTTCCCCACTACCAAAGTATTTGAAATGATTAAAGTCAGTTACCTTGATTTGCTTTGCGTCAGCCATAACTTGAAGAAGTGAGAATCCACCACCAGCAGCACGAGTCTTAAAATCGCCTCACTTTCTGCTCGCATTACAGAGACATATGGCTTATTTTCCTGCTGTACCGGCTGGTTTGAAGGTGTTTCTGTACGATAGCCCGACCGTTTCACAGCGAGAATCAACGGTCATCCAGCTGTCTGCTCCGCTTCTTGCTTATCTTTGATGTGCCCATCATTTTAAATCTGCCCATCAGATTCTGTCAATCACCATCCCTCAAAACCAGGCTGCCAACACGACACAGCTTGAAGGTACCGCTGCAGCGTCTCTTGTTCTTTTATTAGCCACGAAAGCTTTCTGCCTCCATCCTTTTTCATCTGCAGGTTTTCATGCTTGGAAATTCATGCATATTATCATTTATCATCCTGTAGTAGAACACAACATATTTTGATCACTCTGTCGTTTAAATGAACATTTCATATTCATGGCAACAAACTCTGCACATCTTCAAATACAGTACATCTAATCCTCCAGTAAGGAGCTGCTGTGTTATCGACCCACAGAATTGTGTGTATTTACAGTATAATCATCGATATAATCATGGAGGTGCCCGGTAATGTGTGTTTTATTATTGCAGCAGTAAACTCATTTGGTGTTCATTATGTTCATAGGACAGAGAGATGCGCACTTAGGTGTGTGCAGTGATTTAATGGAAACATTTAAACGCACACAGACACACACCATGCAGAGTCATTCCCAGGATCCTCACAAACAGTTAATGTACACTTTCTGTAGCTCCATATATAATAACAGGTTTAAATCAAATTGCCAAGCAGATGGCAAAGAAAGAAGAGCCACAATTCATTGGTTTTTTTTAATGAAAGGTATTTCTATCCATTTGCTGAATGTCCCTAAGAAACTCATGAGAGTTTGAAGGCTCTCGCTGCTCTCAGTGCTAACTTCTTAAACACTCAAAACATTTACAGGGGGTGCTAAATCAAGCGTAGTTGGAATGAGATTGCCAATTACCTTGAAGGCACGAAGAGCAGTAGAGTAAGAATTAAAACAAATCCCACAGAAACACTGGGCGACCTTCTCTGGGAGACCACTGAGAGACGGCTCGGTTTGGCTGCTATGTTTTATATGCTTTATTTTTCTTATGTTGACATTTTTATTCCATTATAAATACATTTCTTAAAACAACCTCAATTCTCTGGGATTGCTGGCTTTGTCTCCTTTGTTTTTTTTCTGCTGTGATGTATTTGACCTTCTGGGCTGTTTAGATATGTCATGCTAAATAGCTTCTGAGTGCGCTTTCTTTTTTTTTGTTTTGTTTTTTGGGGGTTTGTTTTAGGTGAGGAGGGGGGCATTATACAACCGGGAGAAATATGCAGAGCACGCAGCTGCTTTGTTGTGACATATACGCATGCAGAGAAGCATCAGGGACGTATGGGTTTCTGGATGAGTACACAGAACAACTATCGAGTGAACCAGAAGGATCTGATGCACCCACATCTCGTTTCTCCCCCATAACTGAATTAACGTCTGCTCACTTGTGAATCCTTTGAACAGCTGAGAATTTGTGTGGGTAGGCAGTCTAACAGAGGCTAATGAGTTTAACAGCTCGCTCATGTGCTGTATAAGCGTCCACTCACTCGTAGCCCATCTATCACTGTGATTTTTCAGTGGATATTTCCGTCTCCTCGGGACAGTGATTGAACGCCACACAACACCCTTGGTCTGATTTATACTTGAATTCAGACTGCATCTCCCTCTCCTCTCCTCTCCTCCTCGAGTGCCTGCCTCACAATCTTCCCATTGCAGCGTTAGAGATGACAAGTTTTCTTTTCAGTTTGTCACCACCCACAGCACGCGCACACATGCATTAAAAGCGTGACACACTAAACACTCACCGCCACCTGTATGTCACAGCTGTGTCAACTTTATTTTATCGTGCTCGTGCTTTTCCTTTTTACCCCTGGTGCTCCAGGTTCATGAATTAAGCGCATCTCTACCCACCCTCTGCCTAGCTGCTGTTGGATTTATGGAGCACATGATGAGCATTGAGTGCCTGCAGAGGTGGGTGAACAATCTACTTCACTCCTCGAGCTCACCCAGCTGTAGCACATAGCAATACCAGTTTCCTTGTAGTTGATTGCTGTCGTGCAAGGATTAAGGAATTACAGTGTACCGTGTAGTCACCCTAACAGCTAACATCCACATACACTTGGAAGAATAGCTTGTTCCATGTTTGTTTTTTGCTTCTTTTTGGGGGGGGAACCTGTCTATAACATTTAGGGATATTGAGATTATTTAAAATATATATATATTGTCTATACTGTTGCATTTAGTATGACTTTACTGCCTTTTTAAAATGGTAATTATTGAATCTATTCATTTTATTCCTGCTAATATTGCATCCCTCTGTCAAACAATTGCTTTTTCCTAACAGACACCAGATTTTCCAGGGGTGGCAGTATTCATAACAGTATTCAAGACAAGGCACTGCTACACATTTTTTAGTAAGCGCTTTCCTGCTGATTTTATTATTTGCAATTAAGTGATTGCAATTATTTGCAGAAGGCTTCTTGTTGTTGTATGCTCAAAGAAAAGGTATTCAGAGTGCAGAAATTCTCTATAAGGCGAGACGCTGTCAGGGCTGTTATACAGCCTTTTGTTCGCTGACAGTTGTTGAACATATTGACCAAAACATCTTGACATTGTTTGTCTTTCAGAGAAATAAAATGGAGCTTCATTTCCTTTGTGTTTGTTCCCTCACTTTTCACTCCTGCCTTGATCGATGCCTCACAGAAGGAGGCACTGATCACCTATTTGTGTGCGAGTGGGTGGGTGGGTTAGAGAGAGCGTGCGTTTTGTGGGGTTTTTTTTTTTTGTTGTCCTATGTGATTTCTCTCATGCTCTTGGCAACACAGGAAATCACAGCCTTGACATTTTGCTGTATTGTTACCCGCATACTTGACAAAGGTGGTACACAGCCAAGTCAAATTCCAGTGGAAGCGTAGCCGACAGCGCTCTTTGTCACATACCCACCAGAAAAATGAAAGTAGAATCCTGTTCTTACAGAAATCCGTCACGTGGGTACTTAATAACAAAAACCAGGCTGGATTTAGATTTTTTCTAATAGCGAGTTACAAAAGTCATTTGTTTTGGCCAGATCGCTGGTCTTTGCTGACCCTGGATGAAGGTTTCAATGACAAAGATAAATATCAGTCCATTTCTGTAATGGCTCCATCATTTGCACAGCATCGTTTGTCTTTGGGCGAATGCTCCGATGCCAGAGTTCAAATTAGAATTTGTTCATTAATCGTGTTCACGGAGGACAAAAATGGTACGTTTGTTCTGCCTGCTAGAGAATGTGTAGAGAAAGGTAAACCCACAGGGAAAAGATACACCTATTAATGGGCTAATGAGACAGACAGACAGACAGACAGATGGATGGATGGATGGATGGATGGATGGATGGATGGATGGATGGATGGATGGATGGATGGATGGATGGATGGATGGATAGATAGATAGATAGATAGATAGATAGATAGATAGATAGATAGATAGATAGATAGATAGATAGATAGATAGATAGATGGATAGATGGATGAAGTACATTGGTCTAAATATTGGCCATGTATTGGCCATACAAAGCTCTAAATTGGATGTTGGCTGCCTTTTGTTCCTCTGTCAGTATGATCCCACACTGCTTCTGGGGAGGCCAATCCATCACTGATAGTGTTCCATTTTGTGTGTTTCTGTCCAGGTATGCTTTTACTGCATTGGCAGTGCGTTTAGGATCATTCTCATGCCGAAAAGTGAAGCTACTTCTAATCAGATGCTTTCCAGATGGTCAAAATGTGAAAGTACTTCTCTCCCTTCATACATGACAAGATTCCCAACACCACTGGCTGAAATTCAGCCCCAATCCATGACTCCTGCGTGTTTCACAGATGGCTGTAGACATTCACTGTTCTACCAACAGTTTCAAATTTGGACTCATCTCTCTATAAAGACCTGTTGCCTCTGATTTTCATTCCATACCTCAGACTCATCTCCCTCTTTCCCTTCTTTAAAAATGACTACTTGACAGCCACCCTTCCACTGAGACTGTTTCTGATGAGGCTTTAGCAAACAACAGATGGATCTACTGAAGGGCCACCATTTCTCCAGTTTTTAAGGACACACTACACATGCAGACATATGCAGTGTTTTCAGCTAATAGCTCTTTAGGGATGAACTTATTGGCTAATAAAATACTATTTTATCCCTGTCAAACTTTAGTATCTTTAGCATCTTTTCAGCAATTTGAAGAAATGGGAACAAATTTTGTGATTAAATGATTCATGGCTCAGTCTTAAGTGGCTTTACAAACAAAACAACAGTCTGCTGAAAATGGACTGGATTAAAAATTAGTGAAAAAGCAGCTAAAGTCCAAAGAAAAACTCTAAGGACCTTCAGAAAGCCTGGAGAAATATTGCTCAAGACCACTTTTAATAAAAATCTGACTCCTAGGAAGGAAAATGCCATAGATATGGGGGTAGCTCAAGACTTTTGCACAGTATTCTATGTAATACAAATATTTTTTTCTTTTTGATGCTTAAACTGTATTTGACTTATCCGTGCTTGCTAATATATCTTACATCACTGACTGCTGCAGGGCTCATAACATTTCCACTATGGGAAGATAAGGCACAATGTGCCAATCGTTATTTTTCTGCACCTCCACTAACAGGTGCACTATGCCGTTCTCATTTTAACTACTGCAGTCGACCCCATTAAGCCCTAAACAAACTGAAACGGGCAACAGCTCCTGGTGGTTTGAGGAGGAAATATTGGTTTTCTGATAAAGGCCTCTTGAGTTCCTGCGTTAATTGGCCGTCAGAGCACAGAATTATCTTAATCCCTGAGTAAATGATTCATTACCCCACAGATGAGAGACTAAAAAAATGCACTGGGCCACGAAAAAAGATGCACAAGTGACAGCCTTGAAAATAAAATGTGTTTATCTCGCTCCCTGCAGGGAAAGTCAGGTTTTATTGATGCGGGGCAGCTGAATCATATTTCCTGCATGATTAA